TCACGCCCTCCCCGTAATGAAGTGTCCCTTGACCGCTGTATTAAACCGGTGACCCTCGGGGCTTCCCTTGATCGATCGTCGCATTGTCTCTCTCGAGAAAAAAAAAAACACGCAATTTTTTCGCGTAGGAGAGGAAGGCGGGTCGGGGTACGGGGGCGCCGGGTCCCAATTGGGTCTCGGCCCGGCCGGCTCCGGATCCCACCTCGGTCTCGGCCCGGCCGGCTCCGGATCCCACCTCGGACTCGGCCCGGCCGTGTCCAAAGCCTCCGGCTATGCTTCGGATCCTCGGACGGGCTTCGCTTACAACTCTTCCATCTCGCCGTATAATCCTTCCTTCTCCGCCCAACACGTGAGTCCCTGGAGTTCGTTCGAAATGATAATTAAGCGACTTTACCTGTACTGGCACTGGTACTGGTAGGTACTTCTGATCCACGTGCTGACCTACTCCAAATAAAGCGTCACGATAAAATTAAGCGTCACTTTTAATACCGTTGGCGTGCATGCACAACGTTTCAAATGTAGCCCTAAAGAAAAAAGGGGCAATGCTCCACTATTCTAATGCGAAATACTTTCTTTTCTTGTGAAAAATTTTTTCTTGCAAATATTTTTTTGCATCGCAGCATTTGCTCTTTCATGAATTGATACGGATCGCTGCATCAATTTCGACAGTCCAAATAAATCACCCTAGGTTTCTTTCTCATCACGATCACCGCTTCGAGAACCCTCATGCTCACTTGTTGGGATTGTCGCCAGATGGCAGCAGCAGCGGCAGCGGGCTCCTTCGGCGGCGACGCGGGGAACGCGTGGAACGCCGCGGCCTCGACGATGGCGATGCACTGCCACCAGCGGTCGCACGCGCCGGCCTTCTACAACTTCCAGTTTTGAGGGCGTGGTCGCGTCGGTGCGTGCGGGGGCGTGAGGCGGTCGCGTGGGGCGTGCGGAGGCGTGAGCCGGGAGCACAAAGTCGTCTCGCGTCGGGTGTCGTCTCCGTGTCGTCGGGTGTCGTCTCCGTGTCGTCGGGTGTCGTCTCCGTGTCGTCGTGTACAGTGTCGATCGATTGATATTGAACGCCAAAGATTTCATGCCAATAAAACCTCGTTCACCTCTCGATCGAAAGGAAATCATTTCTTTCGATCTGGCTTGGAGTGGGTCTGCGATGGATGAAGGATGATGGATGAAGGATGGTGGATGAAGGATGAAGGGCCTGCACGAGCGGTTACCGGTTCGGTTGCGCCGTGGTTTTGGTTTGGTTGTAGGGGGTTTCAGGTGCGGTCGAGGCGTCTTTGTTGGAGTTTGTGGACTGCAAGGGGTCAAAAGGGGTAAAAGGGGTAAGGGGACAAGGGGGGGCAAAAGGGGTAAAAGGCGTAAGGGGACGAGGGGGGGGCAAAGGGGCAAGGGGGATGGAACATTGGGGGGCATTTGGCGAGCACCACTCCCTCCGTGACTTCTACAAGTTGAATCTGCTAGTTCTCGTGGAATCCTGATCTCGGTCCCCCGAAAGTGGATTTTGCAATCCCGTTGCCGGTTTTGCTCGACTTGGGTCCGACGGATTGCACGAAGTCCCGAGGGAAATCAATCCCGTCCGTTCGATTAAAATAGAATTGTCTCTCTTTGGAAATCGGCTCGCCTGGAAGCGATCCAGTTGCGCCCTGGCGACAGCGATGGCGACCTGGCGCGATTTTTATTTTCTCGAGCTCGAACGGCGAATTTGCGCCTTTGAGACGAAGAAAATAGGACAGATCCGATCCGATCCGCCTCGCCCTCTTTCGGGATTCCTCTCGGCTGCCAGGCGACACGTGCCAGATGCGTCTTGCAAATCTTCCCCGGTTCCTCGGCTCGTGCCAAAAAAAAAAGAGCAAAACTTCATTTGGACTTGCCTCGACCGACGGAAAAACTCGGGAAGACTTGCCGATGACGTCACTCGACGTGCGACCGGATGACCTGCCGATGACGTCACTCGGCGAATTTCCGACGAGAAATTCGAGGCTGGAAAAGAGGATCGGGTGTGACCCCGTGCCGTTCCCTCATTTCGCGCTTCCCTGCATCTTTTCTCTCCCGCTAAATCCTCCTCTTATCTGCCATTCTCTTCGGATCTCATGCATCGAAGACGCCCACGTGGATTTGTTTACGGTCCGAGTCGAATCCGCGGATTTTCCGCCCCATCGATCCGCTTTACTGGAGCGCGAGACGCAATAATCGACGGAGACGAGAGCCCAAACGGCACGAAATGCGCAATCGCATCAAACCGAACGCAAGAGAAAAAAATTGGAACGGGGGCACCTGCGATTCACGGTGATCATCGTCTTTGTCGGGGATTGGCAACGCTCCTCGATGCGTTGCCGGGGTTTCACGGTTCGTCTTCCTCGATCGTCCGCAGCTGCTTCATCACGCGAGGCATATCTCATCCAAGCATATCTCATCCAGTCATATCTCACCGAGGCATATCTCACTCGAGCGCAACGGTCACCCGGCAAACGACGATTGGCGAATTACAGGAGCGAGCGGCTCCTGAGGTGGCAGCAGCTGTAGGGTTTTTCCTGGGTGTATTCGACCTTGGTTCAGGTTGGGCATATTCGACCTTGGTTCAGGTTGAGCATATTCGACATTGGTTCAGGTTGGGCATATTCGATCTTCGTTTGGACTTGACAATCTCATAGCCGGGACAGTCATTCTCTCCTGTCGCTACATTTCGATATCTTGTGTGGCTTGAAATTAAGAAATGTAATGATGATAAGATGAACACTTTCCGGACGACGGGATGCATAGCCGTCCTAATTTTCTTTTGCCTTAGTTGCTATAAATATTGTTCCAGCTGGTAGAGAAACCATCAATTTACAAAAAGTAACCCTAAACATCAACTACTATTGGATGAGTTTATGGAATTTTCGTTAAATGAGTGAAAAAAAAGCGTTGTCTGTGGTATGTAGCACCCAGAGACCATCACCCAGAAAGTGTTACTAAAAAGTAATTGCAGATTGGGCTCGTGGGAAAGCCTATCTTGGAGACTGATCAGTTCCTGGAGTGCCAGTGCCGGTGAGAACTCGAATCCTTGCAACAACAAAAAAAACTGACGCCTTCAGAAACGCTTCCCTAGGGATTCCGAAATATTTCCGTCACGCACCGAGCACATCCGCGACCGAGCGCCGTGTAAAACGGGATCGCCGAAATTTTTCGATGCGGGGAACGAGACATTTTTCACGGGACTGGGAAGGCGTGAAGTGCAGGAACGCATGGCGTCGTCTGCTAGCGAGGCCTGCACGGACGCCTGATCGAGAAAATTTCCCCCCAGTCCTTTTGTCTCCTTTATGACGGCGATGACGAAGACGAGATAAATAAAGGAAGTCCGCATATGGGTAGAGGAAGCGTCCCTCCGACCAATGAGAGCCCTCGGCCCCGCCCACCCCTACCCCCTCCTGACCAATCGGAACCCATCCCATCTTCCCTCGTTAGGAGCCTGACAATGGCGACCCAGCCGTAGTGTCATTGATGTCGCCGTCCCCGTTGCATCCCACCCGTCAGTCTCCGGTGATCCCCGTGACCAAAACCCTAACGTTACTCGACCACAACAGCATCAACACTGGACCCGATGACGGTGACCAATCTGGCCATGGTACCCCCAGGGTGCTTCCCGGGGTACCCCTTCCAAGGTGAGCCCATCCCGATACCAGATCCACCGTATATGCTTATTCGATACTTTAACGTTATACTTATACATTCCTCTTATCGCTGATTTATAGCCGCGGTTAGGCGAAGGGCGATTCGATACCCGCTATATTTTACGATCACGTGGTCCGAGTTCGTAGCCCCAGATGGTGTCCAGCATGCACATGCACATGCACATGCTACAATAAATCCAGCCCGAGTTATTACCTGCGGTCGACTTCAATACCCTGTAATTGGAGCCGGGGGAACAAATTTCCACTCGGTCTTTGTTGGTCCCCCCGTGTCGCTCAACGGCCTTTTTTTTATTGGCACTCCGAGAAAAAGACACAACGGTCCCGGGATGAAGTCCGAATCCATTAAGGGGAAGGTATTTAGGGTCTCATCCCGGATAGATCCATCACAAAGGCAGTTTTATGGCTCGAGGAAACCCTTTGAGTCGTTAGAGGCTTTTGTGCCCTGCCTTCGTGATCGGGTTCCCGATCTGTCTCTGTCTCGGGCCGACGACAGAATGACAACAGAATCAAGATTCTGTCGTCGGGGCCGGGGAGACTTCGAATCCAGGGAAACACGGTCAAATTTGATGTCGGTAGATCGACTCCCTTCCCCCTCTCCCCCACAATTACTGGGAACAATTACTGGGAACAATTACTGGGAACAATTGTTAGGAACAATATTCAAACATTCAAAATTCCAAATGAATTTGGAAACACTTGAAACCGGAACTGGAATTATGAAGAACCTAACACCTCGACCACGTGTTTTAAGCAGGGAAGTAACAAAGCGATAGTAACGCGTTACATGGATAACCTGAACCCCCATAAAGGGGGGGGGGATTAGCACCTGTCAACTGAGTTCATTGAAAGAGCCCTGACTTTTTATTACCCTCCAAAGGAGCAAGGCACCGAGCGAAAAAGGGATGGGTTCACAAAAACCATAAAAAAAGGGTGGAATGACTTGACAAACTCCCCTCTGCGAACATCATTAAACCCATTTTTCATCATCTGCGCCGACACTCATCTCGATGAACGTCATTACCCTTTGAGGCTTTGGTGGTCTACCGGAAGAATTATGGACAAAAACAAGTTCCTCCCAATATGGGAACAACTGAGGAGTTTCGTTTATCGGCTGGTATATCACTTTCTGGAAACGAATTACAAGCATACAATAAGCCGGGGAGCGACTCTTAACTGCAACTAGTCCCTGATCAAGAGTAACTTACGCAATCATGATGATAAAAATTACATATTTATTCATTTTAAGATTTTTTTTTTACGTATGTCTTCTGCTGTCTCATTTGCCCGGACGAATTTGCTTAGATATAATGCAACATACGCGAAATGATCGAACTTGCAGGGCAGGGTCGGGTAAACCAACTGGGAGGGGTTTTCATCAACGGGCGACCCCTGCCGAACCACATCAGGCTGAAGATCGTGGAGATGGCGGCGGCTGGGGTCCGTCCGTGCGTCATCTCGCGTCAACTCCGCGTGAGCCACGGATGCGTGAGCAAGATCCTCAATCGGTATCAGGAGACGGGGAGCATCCGGCCGGGGGTCATCGGGGGGTCCAAGCCCAAGATGGCCTCGCCGGACGTCGAGAAGCGCATCGAGGACTACAAGAAGGAGAACCCTGGCATCTTCTCCTGGGAGATTCGGGACAGGTAAGACGATCGTTAAAACGAGAAAAGTAAATCAGGAGGAACGATTTCCTTAAATTCGACTGGGACGTGGCGGATCGCGTCTCACGAGCGAAAGTTTTGCATTAATGTGCTTACCATGTGAATAATATTAATCGAGAATTTATCGAGAGTTGGACGAACTCGTCTTTTGACGAAGTGAGAAAAATTGCAAAAATGTTGTCTTAATTCGAGTCTTTCTTCCTGCCAGACTGGTGAAGGAGGGGCTCTGCGACCGGAACAGCGCACCCTCGGTGAGCGCCATCTCCCGGGTCCTCCGCGGCCGGGACCCAGAGGACGACGTCAAGGACGGTGAGTGATTCATCCGGCTGTTCCTGCGGGGTGGGGCTGGGTGGGGCGGGGTGGGGCGGGGACGTCGAGATGGGCCGAAGGGCCGTTCGGGATTTCCTCGGCTGCTGTCTGGGTGCGGGGGGAAAGTCACTTGCGCAAGTTTTTTTTTTTTTTTTTTTATAAATCTGGCCAATTCCAAGTAATTCCGGGCAATTCCAGTTAGTTTCGGCCAATTCCAGCACATTCTGGCCAATTCCAAGCAATTCGCCATGCAGGATTTAAAGCAAAAAACGTGGAAAGCGTTTAATTGCGTTCTCTAATTGAAAACGCTGATGGACCTCGACCGTTCATCTCATTACCTGCGAGAACGTTTGGAGAACAAAGCCCTGTGAAACACTCGAGGATTGGCCATCTATCTATAAAAAATATCCATACTGTTTACATCGCATGCCAATGGACGCTCGAAGGAGAATCATCGGGCAAGACTTCCAACAGAATCGCCGGATAGGGAATTTGCAACCTTTCTGAAAGCGTTTCCCATCCAGCAAATTTCTGCACGTTTCTGTCTCAAATTTTTCTCCATCGAAAAAATAATAATGATAAAAATAAATAAATAAATAAATATATGTATATATATATTGGGAAGCATTTTTTCGACACGAAGCCGCCGAGGACCGCTCCGATCGCTCGGAACATTTCTAAAACGCCCGGTTTCACGAAGACAAATGTTTTCACCTAGCCGGTTCAGAAGGCCATTTCATTAGCCGTAATTAAAAACTTTCAGGATGAATAATTGATCCAAATCGATGACTGGAGGAGAATGTTCCTTCATGGTAATCCCGTCCGACCGGAGTGAAAGTTTTTCGCACGACCGAAGGGGATAAATGCATAAGCGGAAACGCATTTCCTAGTAAATCGATATTTGAGGTCCATGGAGTCTTTTCAACGCATCCGACCTTAAGCTTTTCACGTGACGAGAATTCAGCAACTGCAAACTTTCACGATGAGGCGCGGAAGAGACTAAGATTCAAGTACCCCCCCCCTTCGCCCCCCTACTGCCTCGCCACCCCCCCCCTCGCCCCCGCTCTCTTTCATTGTTAAACCGTACAATGATATCTTATATATATAAACAATGGGGAGTGCATGGAGCGCGATGCAATCCTAAACCCTAAAAGGCCCCCTTTGCCCAGCCCACTTTGCCCATTTGGCCCGCTTTGCCCGGCTCGTCCACCGAGTTCCTTGCCTTTGGCGGAGGGGACGGGAGTGGAGGACAAGGTTCAAGGTGAACTCGTCTCCCTTGCCGAAGATGTGACCGAAAGGGGACGAAGAAGGGAAGCAGGACGAAAAAGGGGAGGCAGTGCGTGGACCGTGGAAGCAGGTGCCGGAATCGGAAACGAAATTCAATCGGGCGTGCACGCACCGCGCGTACCCCCTTCTTCCAGGGATTTCCCCTGATTTATCGTGCTTCTTTCGCTTCTCGGGTATTCCCGATCACGTCGGGGGAAAATGACGTGGGAGAGGGGGGGGTCATCAATCTTCGTTTGGGATCCATTTTACGGTGTGCATCAGAGAAAGCTGTAATTTTCGGCTCGGTTCCCGAAGATCATTAATACTCCGGAATCTGGCCCGACTCCGGAATCTGACCCGACCCCAGGGTCTGCGATCGATGCGGTCGATACCGGACAAAAGCCGGTCTCGGAAGGAGCACGTGGGCACTGCTGAATCATTCCCCGCATTTCATTTCTTATTTATATTTATAAATACATATAAATTCGGCCAGATGCGAGGCGTGCACCTGTGCCCTGCATCAGCCCCCCGTGCCGAAGGTATTTCTGGGCATTTCTCATACTTGCATCCACCCGGAGAAAGCCAGACGGCGTGGTGCCACCAAGGGTGCCCTCGCAAGGAACACCCCACATCATACCATTGTAAAGGCCCCCATACACGTTATGGTGCACCCCCGGTAATTAGGCTTACGTTGCAGGTTGGGGCCCACCTGCAAAGCGAGCGGCTTTTTTCTTTCCCCCTAAAAGAAATAAAGGAGGGGGAAATTGAAAACGACAGGTGAATTGTATGTGATAGGGGCATTATCTCTGCCCAGGAGGGGAAAAAAAGAACAGATTGATCTATGTTGCTAGGGGTCACGCAGGATCTCGGGCTCTTTTTCTTTTGTTTCTTGTCCTTTTTTCCGATTCATTGCAGCCGGGGATGGGATGTGGCCGAATGTGGCCGAATGGGAAATGCCGAATGAGAGCCGCAGGGGCCTGCGAGGATTTTCGTCCCGCAAGGGCTGGGAACCCTTTTTTCCCCCCTGCGAGATCTTCTCGAATTTCAATTATTAATATTTATCATTAAATAAATATTAATAATTTCAATTATTAATATTTATTTAATGATAAAAAATGGATGGAATCTTCGATCGGAGGCCCAAAAACGCTCGGGACATGAAAATGCATGCGAAAGCTCGAGGACTCACCAGGTGGCACCCGAGAAGGGAATAATTCATAAGACAGTGTATTATGTAGGCCCGTATGTAATTCTATAGGATATCCTGTGGTGAAGAATGACCATTTTCCCGCGGCACCTCCCCCTTCTCACCTCGGTGGAGGGTCTGCTTCTCACCTGTTTTCGTTCCCTTTAATTACGAGACCACCAATTGACCACCCCTCGCATTCTTGGCATGTTCTTGCTTGACAGCTCAGTTTTTCTTTCTCACTCCCCCCTTGGGAAGAAGAGGCTTTTGGGAATCTGCCGAGAGCAGTACTGGATTCCTCCCGAGAGGAGGATGCGCCTCGCGACATTCCCGAGGAATAACGCGAGGCCCATCCACGTCGTCCCGAGAACGACATTCCCAAGGAATGCCGTTCTCGGGACATTGACGAGGAACGTTATCGATCCGATTAAGTCGCTCGAACGGGTCGAGCCTCCGGTCGAAGTGGGACCGACGGTGGAGGCTCGGTGGGTGGCTCGGTGGGTGAGGTATGACGGAGGGCATCGGCATCAAAGAGCTACAGGCATCCACGTGCAGTGAAGGAGAAGAAAAAAAAAATACATCATAGTCCAGATAGCCGACGGGGGTAGGAGTGAAGATATATCTGTAGATGGAAAGAAAAGCCCATTAAAGCCTTCCCAGTAGGAAGCACAAGGGATTAAGGGGTGTTAATTCTGGGTTCCAGGAGGGGGGGAGACCTAACACATTTTGATGTGGCAGGACCTCCCGAGCTGCAAAGCGAGGGGAAACCCCCCCATTCCCTCCCCTTATTATCCCATGCATCGATTCGATTTTTCACGCCGATTTCATCCTCGCTCTCGGAGTGTCTACTCCGGGGCCGTCGTGTTTGGATAAAAGCTCTTTTGGATTCAATTATGTTTAGTCTACGTGGTCTGGACTGTTTATCCATCTGATTAAGTGGCTTATTCTTAGCATTTGTCTTTTTTTTTCCTTTCAAGTTCTTCATTTCAAAATTCATCCGGTTTATACCATGAAAGATACTTGAGAGAACACCAGCAATTTGAATGACATTACGATATCGGAGGACAATCGATAGAATCAATGAACGTGACGGATGAATGATCGAATTAGATGGTATGACGGTATGATAGATGGTCACAAAAGGCTGTTTTTTCGCGGTCCCGAAGAAACAATGCGACGTAGGCAATAAAAGGGGGATGCTTGCCAATTCTACGCGTGGGGAAAGACGCCAAATAAAAGCCTTCTTCATTACAATCGCATTCAATCCCCGGGACTGATTATCTCCAGGAGAAAAGCTGTCGTCCGGGGAATGCTCGGATTCGGACTCGGAGCCGGGGATCCCTCTGAAGCGGAAGCAGCGCCGAAGCCGCACGACGTTCACGGCCCAGCAGCTGGACGAACTGGAGAAGGCCTTCGAGCGGACCCAGTACCCCGACATCTACACCCGCGAGGAGCTGGCGCAGAGGACCAAGCTCACGGAGGCACGCATCCAGGTCATTGCATTTGCACGTCCCTGTATTTCCATGGAAACCAAAAATGTCGCTTCCTCTCTCTCCAAGTTGCAAGAAATGCTGGAATATTAGGAAGCTGTCTAATATCAAGAAATTAACCACCGATAAAATTATCCTGTTGGTCACGGCAAATTTTTCGGTAAAAAAAAAATTGCAACTGAAAAATTTGTTTAAGTAGTAGCTTGTCGAATCCGCCAGCTTCATCCCACTCCCTTTCTAGTTGTTTCCTTTGAAGGTTGCGCATGCGACTTTTCGATATGAATTAGCATGTAAATGTGTTTCTACAGGTGTGGTTCAGCAACCGGCGAGCCCGTCTCCGGAAGCAGTTGTCAAGCGGGGGAATGATGGGGATGTCCCCCGGGTCCCATCATCCTCACCCGGTCCCCGTTCCTTGCTCGTCATCGTACCTCCTCTCCCAGAATCCCTTCCCCACCTCCACCTCCGTCTCCACCGGTGAGTCCCTTATGTGCCATGTATCGAGCCTTTCGCGTTTGAACATTTTTTTAATGGGTTATCTGCATTCTCGTTCGTAGGGGAAACGGGTTCGGCGAGCTCGGGTGCAAGTCTTCCAGCCTCTTCCGCCCTGAGCAAGCCCAATTCCTTCTCGTATAACAGCCCCATCCCCCCATACAACCCTCCTTCTCTTCACATGCCTCAGGTCTGTGCACATTCCAGCAAAATACATATTTAGAAGTAGCGACAAATTTAGCAGAAAATAATAATTTATTTAAAATATTATTTCGGAATCCGTAGTTGGGGACCGGGACTGGGGGCGGTATGGGAAGCAGCGGGAGTGGGTGCTACGTCCCAACCCACCAGGGTTTCGGGATGACGTCGAGCGGGGAGGAGATGTGGAACCTGCAGGGAAGTTCCTCGATGGGGGTGGGTGCCTTCTCGGCGCCTCCACCCTCCATCCATCCGTATTCACAGGGCTCCGTCGCGTCTTTCATCCCCACCAGGCCCAGCGGCCTCTCTATGTTCAATTGGCACTGACTCCGCCTTCGGACCTTCCATTGCTCAATCCGGAGCGGCTTCTGGGTGTACAGTGTGTTCCCTGTACGGGTATATGCGGTTGATTCGTGGTCGTTACCTCAGAGGAATAAGAAAGAGGACGTCGGGGGTTCTTCGTCACGTGATCTTGTGATATTTTCTTTTTTTTTTGTCTTCTCTCTACACTGTATAAATTATGGTTTTCTCACTTTCGCACATGCGCCAAAGAGATCGTGGTCTAATAAAACTGGCACCTTGGAAGTTCAGCGCCGATCCATTTTTCTTCCACCTTGAAAGATCGGGGAGGACAAAAAAAGACACAAAAAAGAAGAAAGGCTGGGGAGGATGTGGATGAATCAGCTCATCAGGGCGAGGAAAGGGAACAAAAGCGGGCAAAGGAAGAACACCTTCCATGGTGAACCGCTGAATCATAATGGAACCCCCGATTGAAAAAGAAGCCTTTTTTTCTATCTTTCACCTCGTCCCTAATTTCGTCTAGAAATCACTTAGTCGCGCTCCATAAATGCATTTTTGCCGGGGAAGGCAGCACCCGAAGGGGAATAAAAACGTTAACGGGAGAAGACTTTGTATTCGCCCATGGGAGTTTATGGCGGGAGCCGGGGTTGTAAATGGGCGTGGGAACAGACCTGATCATTCCTGCTACCGTGTTTCCGAGCTGTAAATCTAAAAAAAAGAAAAAAAAAAGACGGAGGGACACTCTTCAGCATCCCCTCGGGCTCCGACAAGAATCCCCTTTTGTCTGAAATTCTTGGCTCAGAGGCCGAGGAAATTCAGAAAAATTCGCGATGGATTCCAGCAAGAAATTCATGGATAATGGATGGTTCCTCGGCGAGAATAATAAGTAAACAGGGATCAATCAATCGATCATCATAAAAGAAAACAACACCCTCTAGGAGTGGCTGTTAAAACCTTTTCAATCATCTGCAGGGACTCACTTGGAACCCCCCCGGAGGGGTTGAAGATGAAGAACTGGGCCATATAAACGTCACCATCATCATCTCCTTCTTCTTCTTCCATCATTATTCTTTCTCTCTCTCTCTCTTTTCTTTTCATAAACCACTCTCTCGGGTGGGTCTGATGATCTTCTCGCCTCTTTTTCCCATGGGAATTTCAGGCGAGGGAAAGAAATGAGAAACAACATAATTTGTATTATTCCAAGTGATATTATCTGAGGATAATCAAGCAGACGACACTGATAACCCCCTTCCGCATCAGCCGACGTCCACCACGTCATTGCAGCAGACGACGCCATCCACGTCAGGAGGCGGGAAACTCAGGCCAGGTGCATTCTGTGTGCTGTATGCCTATTACCCCCATCGTCTGACTACACGAATGGATGTGCGTGGAGAAAGGGCGTGGATGGAACGCCAGGCCCCAATGACAAGGAATAAAATAAAAGGGAGGCCGGCTTGAAATTGCATCCTGTCAACCCTGTTAATTACGTGCCCTAATGCGATAATTATAGTGGCATCTATCTCGAAGGAGTGTCCAGGGGGAGAAACCCTATATATATATAACTCAGTCGGGGCCCCCCCATCTCGATTTATGCAGTCGGCGCATGAACATTTCTCGAAGGTGCAGGGAAGCGAAAAAATGAAGGGTGTCAGCCTCCGGGGTGCACCGGGTGAACCCACTGAAGTCTTGCAAATGTGGGAGAATGGAATGCCTACGTGTCAAGTCGGCCCACCCTCTACGAAAGACAGACAAGATAGACAAGGCCGAGATTGTCAAATTAACGTGAAGAAACCCCCGCTGGCCCCCCCATAACATTTCATCCACCCTCTGGGGTCGTCGAGAAAACGTATGCAAGCGGAAAAAAACCTTGACAGGGTGGATACCTCTCGTTAGGGGAGCTCGTTATACATGCCACGTGCCTAAAACGGCTTCAAGATGCTTCAGCCGACTAATTGCCTTCTTCCCTCCTTTCCTTCCATCGACGTGTGCGGCGTCTTCGACTCTTCTTTCTCTGGGGCATCTTCGATTCTTTTTTCATGCCAAGCTTCAAGGTCTCATATTTGAATCTGATATTCAATTTTATTTGTGGCAATATGGGGAGTCCGTCCCCGCCGGCATAAAATTATTATGGTCATCTCGGATTCGCTCATCACCAAGCAGCTGTTAAAAAAAGGGGAAAGGAGAAAGAAAAAAAAAGAGCAACGGGTCTTGAAATTGACGGTGACGAAAGGTGAAACAAAGAAGCGTTCGCACGGGCATCAAGTGTGCAACCAGCGTTGGATATCTCCGGAAACGATCCAGAACCGAAATTGTTGCGATGGATAAACGCGGAGAATGAACACGTCTGTTCCCCGGCGATTTACCTTTGTCTCCGCATGGAAACGGAGATCCGCTCCCTATGACACTGCAGGTAATGAGAGAAAAAAAAAGGTGAAAAAAAAGTCTGGAGGCCATTCTTTTACCTGCTCGATCTGTGTCATGGATCCTGATGCCACATATGGCCGGTGTAGACGCAATCCTTCTCCCTTTTTTTGTTTTTGTCTCTCTCTGCACGATTCACTCATTAATGTAATGAGGAGGGAGCGTGACGGCGTTTGTCATCGAATATGCCCATTTCCCCCCCTTCCGCCCCCCTGGCCAAGATGGCGACGCCATCCCCTCTTCCCTCAGGCTTCCTCCCTTCCCTGTCCGAATCCCAGGTATTCCCGTTTCGACTTTCGTGACCGCTTCTATTCGTGTTCATTGATGGCTAGAGTCGGCCGATGGAATAGGCCTATACAGTCCGGTCGCGCCGCTTCGAATCGAGTCGAAGTCCAGGTTCATTGCGCTTACTGTTTATACTTTTATCAGGCAGGCCTATCTCGAACTGCTCCGAAACAGTGCAACAAGCTCCAGACAGGCCACGATCCCTGACCACTTGGCCAAAGATCGAGGCCTTTTTCACTTGACAGTGACCTCTGGACTCCGAATGCGGGCAGTTGCCTCCAAAACGAAGCAGAACAGAAATATTACAGGGCCAACAAGCCAAAATGACCAAAGGGTGACATTACACCGAGGTAAAGAAGGAAAGAAGACTTCGGAGAGTGCGGATAGACTGGAACGAATGCAACCCGATAATGTAAAAATGTGAAGACGGGCAAGAGTTTCCAAGGCGGTGCCCAATCCTTCCTCGGGCGTTGCTTCCCCCATGCGTGACGGCGGTCGGAGCGACGGCTGCTGTCGCACGTTCACGGGAAAATGTGAGAGAACGCCCGGTCCCGTCGTTTCTCAGCTGTCGACTGACTGCCTTTGTCGCTTGAATTCATTACGGTTGCGGTATACTGAGTCGATTTATTCGCGTGGGTACCGTTCGGGTCGATTGTTTCCTGCTCTTACGGGGAAAAAACATCTCACACGGTTCTTACTTTGCTTTGTGGTCGGGGGTTTTGTCGATCGAGTTGCTGCCTTTTTTTGTTGCTAATGCCGGTTTGTTCCACAATATAACTATTGTGGGCGGAAAAAATGTCGTTCTCCAATCTCCTCCCCTCGACATAATTAATGACCCTGCACTGTACTGATTCACGAACTAATGGCTTCCTTCATCCATCAGTTCACATCCACGAGCTTCCCTCCCCTTTTTTTCTTGATCAGAATAATTTGGAGCATCCTCAGAACCGTGTAAACCCAGAATACCCAAAGGCTCAGGGCCTTATCCTCATTTGCCGAGATCGGTTCGATAGCAGTTGAGCTGGGAAACGCGTTGAAAGATGTTGAGCTTTTGATATCGTCAAATGCGATACATTGCGATCGGATGAGAACACAGATGATAATGAGCCAAGTGTCGGGACCTTTTCCGATCAAACGAATGCATGAATCAGGCTGCATTTTGGAGGATGCTGTATTTCAGTAGAAATGCGTGGGCTTAAACGAATCCACCGACGGGTGAATGGCGGGAATCCTTTCAGTGTTCCCTGCAGTCTGCCCGCTCGTGCATTGCAAGCTTTGTCTATGTTTTGACCAGCGCTGGACATCAGCTCCCGAGACTCAAACAAGGGAAACTCAGATAAGAAGTGAGCCTTGACACTTCCTATTGGGATCAGTTCCGCAGCATTTACTTGCTGCGTTTCGCTCTTCGGCTAATGGAGCAACCCCTATTGCCTTCTTGACAACACTGTAAAGCACGATCAATCGAGGTCGTTGCCATCTCATTATCCGAATCGGTCCCCTTTCACAATGTGTTCTGATCACTCCATTATAAGTTTAGCGGAAATTACTTTTCAGTACTGCCAGTACTGAGTAATTGAGAGTTCTGCATCCCCTTGGGACCGATCAGTTTAATCGATACCTCATTAGTTCTGTATATTTTGTTATGAACCGGACTAAATGAACGAAAAGAAAATTCTCGTTCAAGAGCTCCAAAAGTCTTGCTGTAAAGTTCAAACCTGTGAGTGAGTGGGTGATGACCGAGAAATTGTAGGTTTTTCGGAAGGGGTTGTTCTTACTAAGGCATTATTTATAATAGGAATGTAGCTCTATTGTGTCTGGAATCAGGGTTATCGCCTTCGGTATGGTTGACAACCGAACGCCGCTTAGCTCGTTTTGGCTTTTTTGACTTTGAAGGAAAAGTTTATTGGCGAGTCCTTCTGATATTCTGATGAAATTCGACCACAGCGACCTGTTCAATATTTGTGTGTTGCATTAAGATTCGGACAGGTGTAGGTCTTCCATCCTATTCTGCATCCTATTTGTTTCCGTTTTGATGATAAAATCAAGACAGGCCGTGTCCCGACATGCACTCGAAAAAATAATGGTTCGGACTGGAACCCTTAGATGGTTGTACTCTTTCAGAACGGTTTTGGATGATCGAGACAACATTTGAAATGGTTTTAAGCTCACTTCAAAGACTAGTTGACATAACGATGCATAATAACAACTCGATAGCTCTTGAACTATGGGAAGAGGCTCGGCACGAGTCTATGTCTTGTGATCCCTAGAACCTTTTTCCCACTATATTTGCTTAAGTTACTCGTGGGAGTGACCATATGATG